CAATGTGAAATACTTCACGTGTTTATATACCAAACACCGATCCTCTGTTCACTGTTCTTTTTTGTTAATTATTGTTTGCATATTATTGCTGTGCAATATAAAAAAATATGGAAAGAATAGCAACAGGTGGATACAGATGAATTATCTATCTACTAACTAGGAGACAATTTCACATCCAGTTGCCGAAGAGAACTCTTCAACCTAGATATCTGCTGCCGCCTAGTGGACTCGTATTTAATTGTTCTGTCTGATACTGTTGTAACGGCGGTTTCACAGACAGAGCTTAGATTCAGCTAGGATCCGTCCTTAATTCATATTACAATATTAAACTAGGACATTTAGGTAGCTTACACGAACGTGGCTTGAATTTGGTTTAGTTTGTTGGAGATCATGGAGTCCTGAACTGGGGTGAGGAAGCCTAAATGAAAATGGTGCTCAATAAAACCCAGGGTGGAACAGAAAACACCATTTATTACAACCTCCTCTGTTTTGTAATTACTTTTGTAATTATTTATTATTGTCAAGTCCTACCAGGTTTTTTATTTCATAATTCGTTTCACAGTTTTTCTAAAGTGAAAAGCTAATGTGCATTAAAAAACCAACCTATCTTATATTTTAGTATTTCACTACATTTGTATTTAATTTATCATTTTATATATACATATTCATACATATATACATTTATATACATATATAAACATTTAACAATTAAAACAACAACAACTTGGGTCTCACTTCTCACAGATCAATGTATATATCAATAACTTTTCAGTCATTTTGTTTGGACTTTTACCTTTACTTTTGTACCAAGGACCGGCCAGTATCAGTCGTCACTGTGGACGGGTAATACCACGCCATCATAAAATTTTCTAAATAAAACATCTTTTAGTCTGGATGACCTTTTGTTTTGAAACATTGCCAGATTATCTTTAAATGAAAAAAGTATAGAGATATGACTGGATTCTTTTTGAATGGAGTATATTAGTAAAAATGAAGTACATTTTTTCACTGTGTCCCACTGTGGCCCGGTACCAAATGACCTATGGACCGGCACCGGTCCCCAGACCGGTGGTTGGGGACCCCTGGTACAGACTGAGAGAGAGAAGAAAAGAGAGAGAGAGAGAGAGAGAGAGAGAGAGGACTTCCTATCACAGAGATATTTGCAGTGTAAACAAATCATCTCTGACACAGTTGATGCTCCTGAGTCTGACAATGTCTTGGTGACCTAACCTTCACTGGTCATGTCCTCCACACAACCGTCCTCACCATCTTAAACTCTGTGTCCCAGTATTCTGTGAAGCTGAGGGGTTCCTTCCATTGATCTCAGTCTTGTTCTTTTGAAATTTTATTTTGTAAAATGGTGAAATTAGGAGACAGAATGTTAGGTCAGTGGTGAAAAAAACAGACAGTATGTTTGGTTTAAGGATGACGTAATGTTAAGATGAATGGACTCTTCCTTCAGGGGTACGCTGCTGCAAAACGTCGACAAATGATGCTTTCTCAAATTGACAACTGCACTACCGCCCCCTTCCGTCGCCCTCTTGCTGCACTGCAGATGGTACAGTCCACATGCTGTTCGCAGGAGTTGTTGCCGAGGAACATCCTCCACTGCTCACTCCGTTAGAAACGCCACAGAAGAAGAAGGTGTTTCCGCGTTTAGAACATGTCTTCAGCATCTGAGAGAAGGTTCTACAGCCAGTTCGGCTTGTTCCATCTTCTGTGCAGCGTTACAGGTGAGAGCCGGTTCACGCACCTTAAGTTTCATGTTAGCTCAGCGTGATGAAGTTGATAAAGACGACCGTGGGGCTGTTACTCTTTGATACGAAGCATTTTGATACATAAGTTTAAAATAAAATTTAAAAAAAAGAGGTGCATGTAAAATGCTATCCACGCCTGAAATTCAGTAGAAAAAGCAATATAACCTTGTACGTAATGTTAAGGTTTCAGTTCAGTGTGTCTGTAAAACAAGGGTGACAAAGACACAGTTTTATATGTCATGTGTCATTATATCCAGGTTAACAATTCCAGATTTACTTTTCAACAATTCTGTAATCAAAACAGAAATAAGAATCCTCAGTGGAAGTTAAAACGTTTAAAAATACACTTTAATTTTTAAATATTGTATTTTATGACTCAGTGGTTACATATATATATATATGTATATATATATATATTTGGTAGTTCTTTTTTAAAACACAATACTAAAGATGAATCAAAGTTTGAATATCATCTTCATACTTTGATGTGAAGAGCAAACATGACATCTTATGTAAAGTCAAAAGCATGTCTGCAGTCATGTATCTGAATTATTCATTCATTCAGTCATTTGTGGAGATTTATCTGAGTACAATGGTGTGTGTGTGTGTGTGTGTGTCATTAAGTGTCCAAATGCTAATCTCATTCTTCCACTTTTCATCCACCAATTGTTGCCTTTTTTCTTCCCCCAAATACTTAGTCTTTATTCTTCCTTTCTAAGATGAAAACAAACGAAAAACAACATGGGAAGTTATGTGGGACTAATTGATTGATTGACTAATTGACAACATTTCCGCCACTCAATTCTCTCTCCCTTCTCTCTTGCTCCCTCTGCCATTCTCTCTCATTCTTGCTCGCTCTTTTTCCCTCACTTCCTTTCATTCCCTCCCTCCCTCTCCCTCTCTCTTCTGCTCTCTCTTGCTCATTAAAGTTTTAAATGCATCTCTTGACATGCTCTACAAGAATGTCACGATGCACACTAGCAAGAACTTAAATAAAAAATCCTATGAAACTACATTTTGAGCTATACGTTTGTAAATATTAAAAATATATTTATCAGCATTTTCCATATTAATAATACCATCTTTTTATTTTAATTTGTGTTTGTTTCTTCATAAAACCCCCCGATAAAAACAGGTATGAAAAACACCTTTATGCAGAATATGTTTTGTCAGATTTATATTGATTAATCATAACATGTTAGTTCTTGCACCAGTATTGGTCGGTCTACATTACATTATTACATTCCATTAGCAGACGCTTTTATCCAAAGTGACTTACAATTTGAGTCAGTCAATCAACAATCAAGCTGCAGTAAACATACAAAATACAAAAAGACATACATAATAATAAAAATAAATAGAAAAAACACATTTCCAAATGAAGTTTCTAACATGTACGTTAAGTGATCATTTGCTTCTCCTTGTGTCTGACTGCAGGCATGTGGGGCAGCCAAGTGCTAGTACCACACAGGGTAAGTGCTGTGCTGGGGAAGAATGTGACTTTGGAGTGTAGGTTGGAGGTGGAGGCAAACCTCACTCTGACTCAGAGCTCCTGGGAGCGACGGCTACCATCAGGCACTGTCACAGTGGCTGTCTACAATCCACAGGAAGGCATCTCCATCCCTCCAGAGTTTGGCCATCGTCTGTATTTCCGTTCACCCTCCTCTCATGATGCTACTATCGTGCTGGAGAAGGTGGGCTTCGCTGACGTCGGGATCTACACCTGTAAAGTGGCCACATTTCCAATGGGAAACGCTCAAGCTTCTACCACTGTCACTGTATTTGGTAAGTACATTTGGGTAATACTGGAAATATGTCTTGTGTATACTAATAATGATCAGTTCTAATTTATAGTTCATTTGTTGGTGCCACATTTCGTTACCTAAGGCAAGTGCAGTAGGTGGTTCAAATGAATGTGTTAATTAGTTAATAAGATTAACCATTCACATTTTTCCTGCTAAGCAGAATGACACACAGTATAACTCCAGTAATTTTACCATCCATCCTCCTCCCCCCGCCTCACCCCCACCCTCCGGCATCCTATGCTTTTACTCCATCTATCTCCATGTCCTATTCTATAACATCTACAAAGGTCTTCTGAGGTCTTCCTCTTCTCCTCTGACTTAGTCTTGCTCTCCATTCCCCACTCCTGTCTCTGCTCCTGTGGGAATCGGATCTTCAGCTTTGCTGCACCCACCTTCTGGAACTCTCTCCCACCTGACACATAATGTCCACCCTAGAAACACATAACTTTAAAATGGCTCTTGGCCTAAAAGTCGCACCAGCAAAACAAAAAGGCATAATGAAGAAGAAAAAAACATATATAAGTCGAGTATAAGTCGCACAGTGTGAAAATTTACAAACATGTAAATTTTCAGTGGTACAGGAGTAGCAGATACTGGTACATAAGCCTAGAGTGCCCTCTAGCGGCTGTCTTTGTGAATAAAACAAAGATGTGAAATTAAATATTTTAATATACTTTATAATTATATATATATATATAATATAGTTGCAAACCCAGCAACTTCACCCAAAGGATGAAATACATACAGTAGAATGTATTATTAGAATAAAGGAATAAAGGAATGCTGATGAATATTAAAATCTATTACTCTCTTTACACACTCCCTTTTAACACAGTGGAGCCGAAGGTGTACGTGTCTGCGAGTTCAACTGTCCTGATCGACGGCGGCAACAAAACACTGGTGGCCACTTGTGTTGCCGAGGGGGCTCGGCCGCCAGCTGAGGTGTCCTGGGAGTCCAACCTTATTGGCCAGTCAGAAGTACAGCTTATTGATGAAGTCAACGGCACCACCACTACACAAGTGCGTTACCTTTGGCAGCCCACACGCAACTTTCAAGGTCACGCAGTCACATGCGTAATCCGCCACCCAGCACTGCAGAGTGACTTCAGGATCCCATACCTGCTGAATGTGCAATGTGAGTGTCATTGGGTGAGTGTGACAGGATGTGACATCAGACATGTATGTCAAGTAATAGGTATTTCTATGCTAGTAACATGACGTTTGTCGTCTGTTTGCTTAAAATGAATAGATTGGCATGTGCAGCTTGGCATGGAGCCCCCTCCCAGCTTTGATAGATGTTCCCTTTAAATTAAACACATAAGTGAGAATAGATGTAGAGTACTAAACTGACTACTATTTAGCTTTGTAAACTTACTTGTACACAATACACAGATGTTTTTAATCCGCTGGTCTCTCCATCACTAAAGAGCTATTTTTCCAGCGAGGAATTACCTTAAAGCATTGAGGAAAGTGCAAGCTCTACAGCAAATGCCTTTATTGGTTGGCAAGTTTGATGATGCAAGTCAAAAAACAATTTTGCGAGGTAAATTAAGTAATGCATGAACATGGAAGAAAAGGAAAAAATGATGAGCAGCAACTTTAAACACAACTTAAAATGAAACTTTAACTATATTATGTTTCAATTCAAGTATTATAACAAAAACAAAAGAAATACCAATTTGTGTGGGGTGAGCCTCATATTTTGCCTAGATCTTGGTGACAGAGCAAAAACTTCCAGTGTAGAACATGAGTTATTATAATTCAACATCAGAATAATCACATCTTTTCACGAAATCTACAATGCAACAGAGTTTTTAAACATTCTTTTTTCCTCTTTCATAGTTGCCCCTGATATCTCAGTTGTGGGTTATGATGGAGACTGGTACGTGGGCCGTGAAAATGTTCGAATGACCTGCAGGGCCAATGCTAACCCACCGGCTCATCACTTTAGATGGATCAGGTTTGTGAATAACACTATATTTCTTTCTCTAAGGATCTCACATTTGAATTATTGTTAATACATATATAAATCATATCATATCTACCGCCTCTCAACGTTGTGGTTTTTTACCTCTCACTGGACTCTTTGTTTTACTGTGTCAAATAATGTTTTTCTCTCTTGTGGGTCACAGGCTGGATGGTAAAATGCCACAGGGTGTGAAAACAATAAACAGCACTTTGCTTTTCCTGCGGGCCCTAAAGCGTAATGATTCTGGAGTATACAGGTGTGAAGTCGCCAATGACATCAGCCTCCGCAGTCGGGATGTGCGCATTCTCATACGAGGTAAGTAAGAGTAGGCAAATGACAAGGGAAACCGATCTGACTTCTGAAACGTTTTTATAAAACCTAAACACATTATTCTCCTAATTCTGAACTTCTTGGGATGTAATGAGCTGGATGACTCACAGATAAGAGCAGAGCCATTTGTCTGGCCTGTTTTCAGCTCATGGAGTGGTTTATTTTTAACATACTGAATCAGAATAGACGCAGATGAAACAAAAACAAAACACTCCAGTGGCCAACGCAACTCAACTTCTTTTGGTGTCTAAGTAGACTGACATGCAGATTGTATTTTTAATAGAATGGACTGGATCGCTTGTTTGCCATTTCAAAAACACATTTATTAATATTATATTATTATCCTATCTTTATGTTTCCCATTTCAAAACCTAATTTCTTATTCTCCCGTTCACTGTCAGATCCTCCTACGGTGTCCTCCACCATCACTGCTCCTCTCCTAACTGGCTCTGCCTCCTCCGTCTTGGTGAATGAGAGAGACCATGTCCTCCTCAGCTCACCCACTCTGAAAGCCCTACCTGAAAGAAATCACGGTTCTATCATGAATGGCGCGGTTGGTGGGGCATTGTTCCTTTTGCTGCTGCTGTTCCTGGTTGGCGCCTGTTACCTTTGGAAGCAACAGTCTTTACAATGGAGTTACTACACCAAGAAGTACCAGAGTAACGTTGACCTCCAGAAACCCCCCACACAACCCGAGCTGCACGCAACCAAATCTGGCAAAAGTGCTTCCCGCCACCGAGACCACGACCGAGAGGAGTGGGGAGACTGCCAGCATAAACACAAGCGTGAGCACAATTTCAACAGCAGCCACAACGGGGACAACTACACTGTGAATGGCTACACAAGAGCAGTGAGGGAGAGCACTCACCACGGCCAGCAGCATAATCAGCACCAGGAGCACTTACAGTATTCTAGGCACGCTAAGCGCCAGGAGGTCAACGCCCCACCCTTCCTATTAGATGACGACAGTGTGCCTGATGGCGACTTTGTGTCTCACACAGACGGCTCGGTAATTTCACGTAAGGAGTGGTACGTTTAACGACGACTTTGTTCCACAGGAGACGGTTTGATTCAACATATCTTTCCTAGCTGTGCACATACACTTCCAGTTCTGTGTTTTTACCCATTTAGGAATTGACCAGGTGAACACTAGATAGATTAGTATAAACAGAACTGCTCTGCCATTTGACTGTCACAGTGAAAATGCCCTTTGCCCTTGTCTGTAGATTGTGTGTAGGAGTCTTAGGAATTTGGAGGTGACAATGTACAGGATGTATCGACTCTGCTTTGCCTCACAGACTTTAGATACTGTAGTGTTTCAGTGTTCCTACACTTTAGTGAAGGCATGGGCTGAAAGGTTTACACACACACATTCCATACGTTTGGACTCAATATTATACATTTATTTTTCCTTGTTGTGTTTTGTTGACCGACTGTATGGGAAAGGTTTAAATGAACTCACAGGTCAACGAGTACACACACTTCTAATGTACCGATGAAGGAACTCCTGTGATCTGTGATAATAGGAACATCAGACATCAGTTTGAAAATGAAGACTTTTTAAGCTTCAAACCTCAGTGTTTCTGGTCCCATACTTTACGGCCATGTCACAACCCAGAGAGTGTAGCTTTAAAAAGGTGCCAACCAATCACAGTCGTCGCAGATATATTATCAATAGATCAAACATCTCTAGACTAACAAAACATCTACTGAGTACTCGCCTCATTATCCATAATTAAATGTTCACCACATATGTGACAGATGGTGTGGGTTGCAGTGATAATGCCATTTTTGGCTGTTCTTAGTCTTTGGTATAAAAATACACCCTTTTTTATTTTTGTTTTTCTCAGACTGCATTAAAAAGATGATCAGTTCATTTAATTTTAATGGACACGTTGTTTTGCTGTTTAAGATACCTCAAGTATTGAAGAACTATAAGTGCAGGTATTTATGTTATAGACACTGGATTGTGCAGCATTTGTGTTCAGGATGTGGATGGAGTCTATGAACGCAAGATTGTTTTTGAAAGACAGCTAAAATGCATTAAAAAAAATTTTTATAAACCCACCCGTCAACATGTTTAGGTTTTTATCAAATCATACATTTTAAATAAAAATTTCAAATCTCATGATACATGTTTCTATTAGAACAATGGAAGTCACTTCCAGTGGCACTTTGTATGTGTAGATAGTTCTGCAGATATTAGTATATAACGATGAATAAAAATGACAAGCCATTGTCATTGTATATGTGGCTTATAAAATAAAGTAGAGTAATGCCTTTTTGCACAGGGTCTGTATGTTGGAACAGGGATTTTTATTATTCAAGTTGCTTGAGACCACGTTCAACATTAAGCAGAATAAACTAGTAATAAAACGGGGCCAACTCTCACTTCACTTACCATGATATTAAATACTGTAGTCAACACCTGTTTGAGGTCTTTGTCAATATAACATGATGCTGACTTGTAAATACAAGGGAAACTGCAGCACATACTGTATGTGTTAAAATAGAATGTTACTGTTAGAATTGTACAAAGGGGGCTTTGTTTCAGGCCCATTCCTCTGGGTTTAAAAATGGTTTGGTTTTTCTTTTGGTTTTTTGAGCAGCACCAAATGTGCTGAAGTGCTGTGTAAAAATCTTCTACTGCTAAGAGGCTAGCCTTCTTAATCTATATTGCACATTGTCATACGTTGTAATATGTACTGTATTTATCTAATTAACAACTGTCCTTTGCCTATTGTGTTTTCACTAATACTGATGTATAAAAACACAAAAACCAAACATCATCCTTTTTATGTTGTTGGGTTTTACTGTGCCTGTTTCTTGTTAAACATTTACAGCATTGGACAGTGTAGTGCATTACATTTCATGCCCCTCCCTCTCCCCTCCCTGCAGTGACAATGCCATAGCAATACACTCTTGTGTATTTATTCATCTTCATTTCATAGTAAACACCACATTACAAAGTATAGTAGAAAGAAAATTTAATGGCACCAATAACATTTATTCAGTACACTCAGTGCACAGGGTGGACTAAATTATCTACACAGACAGGTTCAACAGTTTGGAGTGATGAATGTGGAGTGGTTCTCCTGGACCTTCTTTGGGGGTCCGTGGTGGATGTACCATGAATACCATTTCAAAGATCCTAAATTCTGTGCCATACAGTGACAACAAAACGTGTTACTTTGACTTGACTTTCTGCTTAAGGGCAGCTGCAGTTGCAGTTGCAGGCTTGGAGGCAGGGGCACTAGAGGGTCTTGCTGACTGATAAAGTCTGAGAAATCTGCAAACAATTCAAAAGAAAAAAACTCATCCATCAATACAATTGTCTAAATAGCGCCTCCTGTGGTAGCCTGTGTCTGTTGCAAAGACACAATTTAAATGTACTCATTGTGAGAAGAGTAAGGGACTATGTTTATTATTATTATTATAAAAACTATCAACAGACAGTTGAATCATTGAAATGATTAAAACAAGGAGGATGTTTTTTTGTTTTTTTTTATAAAGCTGGCAACTTACATGTTTTGGATTCTTTTCCAAAATGCTCTGGTTGCTCGGACTATCTTCCTTATCCGCACCTGTTTTTTTTGAAGAAAAAAAAAAAACAACACTTTGATCTGTCACATCTTCACAGCATTCCAACACATTCAGGGTGTCCTCTTTGAGAAAATAAATGTGGAAAACTATGTTGGAATTGACCAAGTTCTGTAACCGAGCAGACTTTTTAAATCATTTTAAAATGATCATTTGAGGTGTTTGCACTCCTGCTGAGATGTTGATTTATGATGTGTCTTACCTGCTGCTTTTTGTACAGCAGAGGAAGGGAGAATATAGCAATCACAGCTGAAAAACAGAAGAGATTTGATTATCTGTACACAAATACAGAGCTTAAGAAGTCTCAAATGAATGCAAATTGATTGCAATTTTTACAAATAACAAAAAAATATGATTACATATTATTCATGGGACACTGAAAGCCTTAGTTATTAGTAAATAAGTCAACATTTTTCACTGTGTCCCACTTTGACCCGGTATCAGATAGTACCTACGGACCAACATCGGCCCGTGGACCCCTGGTCTTAATCACATTCACGGGTCTTTCCCCCAAACACAGATGAACTTTATAGTTATAGTAAAATAAAGTAGAATATTCCTAACTTACCAATAATGATCAAGGTCAGCCCATTGATTAACACACCAATGTAAGACAACAGGTACAGGAGCAGGAGAAACTGGGTGGACGAGAGAGGTGACATTTAATGACATAAGAAATGATAAAGATTTAAAAATTCTTCACATGTACGTCCCTTTATAGGACGTCCTATAAAACATATGGTTAAACATATTGGTTTAAACGTGATATTACATATCATCATCATCATCATCATCATCATCATCCTCACACCTTAATAGAGTCTAAGATGCTGCCAATGAAAAGCAGTCGTTTGATACTAGTGACAGCGAATGCAGAGAGCAGCACCATCTCCTCTACCAGCATCACTGTGTCCTTGTCTGTCAGTGTGCTGTCGTAATCCAGATAGGACCTGGAAAAAATACAAACAGTGAGAAAATGACAAAGCGTGGTCGGCCAACTGAAGGTCTTTAAATAATAAATATACCATGAATACATGATTTAATCGAAGATGCCTTTGTAACACTATACAGTATGGACAGAAAATGAAAGTGAAAATAGGGTCGACTTAAATACATTTGTTTGTTTTAAAACCTAATGTTCACAGTACTCATTCAGTGCCGCAAATAATTATTTCATTGGTAAATTTTACTTTCAACCACCAGATGCAAGTTGCACATTTAGTGTGTCTCATTACAGTATAAGCCCTAGATTTTCTGTTTTCCTTGGTTCTAACCACTCTCAGCCATGGACATCCTCTGTGATGACATCACTACTGACATGTAGAGCCTATCTGACTTTTATTTGTATTTGTTGACATGTTAATAAGTTGATATCCTAGTCGATTTGTGTCCAAATCTGCATTAGAACCCGGCGTAAGAAACCCAACGGCAGCACCATGGAAGCAAACCCAGGAGTGGACCAGTGTCAGTACTGATAGTTTGGGCTCGTGCCTAAATCAACAGACTCACTGGAAGGGATGTACTCCAGGGTTCCACCTCAGCACTTCCAGCAGTTTATAGTAGAGACGGAGAGGAAAGGTGAGGCACATGACACCCAGAAAAACATTGCAGAGCACAGTGATGGTGCTGAGCTGAAATAAACTGGCCAAGCCAATCACCAGCCCAGTGAACACCACACCTGTCCACCACATGTTTCTCCAGTACACCAAATCAGCAACTGGAAGAGGAAGGATACAACAATATAAGAAGATGACTAAGCCATAATTACATAAATACGTATACAACATGTTGGATATGTTACTGAGGACAAGTGAGGGAAATCACTAAGACATATATATACATTTAATTCTAAACAAATCATATTCATCAACATATCATACAATAACAGACATCTTCACGTCCACGTCCACCCAGACATACAGTAATATACTGACAAGGAAATGACTTTTTGCAGCAGTACATGGTTTAACTTCCAACTTGACATTGGTTGAAGTGTTTTTTGGGGACAAATACATAAACAGTTCAGTGGTAGTGTTTGTGGTTAGGGGCTCCATTGATTTGTATGTTCTCTCTCTCTCTCTGTGTTTTCCCTGCCATCATCTACAGTCCAGTTGCCACCAGGTGCTGCCACAGCATTACCATGGTGTTGTTGTTGTTTCAAAAAATAACTTACATATTTTGCTTTTTTGAAATTCCACACTAAAAAAAACTTTGACCATGTAGAGAGCTGAGAGGAAATACTAAATAATACTTACTTTGAATGGGAATTTCTATTTTGAAAAATAGACATATACTTTTGGTATTTGCTTTACTTTCCTTTTTCTTTTTTTTTCTTTTTTAGGCTTGAATGCTTAAAGATTTTTTTGTTTTGTTTTGTGACACTGTCTTAGATTTAGTTAGTGGTAGATTAAATACAATGGGTGTTTAAAATGTCTCGAATATCTTTATTACTATTACAACAAACAACAACAGGGTAATTAAAAAGTTCAAGGCAGTTGTTTTTTTGTATTTTTAGAAGTTTTTCTGAATAACTTAAAGCTCTCAAGACACGCTTCAGGTACCTTGAACAACTTTGACAAGTTTTATTATATTTTTGCAAGAGTTTGGGCTTTTGATAGAGTGATAGATAGATGATAGGGTTTTATTTAATAAATAATTCATTTAGGAATTTAATTTTTTGAATCACACTTGAAGCTAAGGAGAAGCTAATTTCTTAAAGCTTTTGATTTCCACATTATTTTCATAACAAATATATTAAATATGTATGTATATATATTTTACAACATTTTTAAAGTTCTGAGATACAAGCACTTGTTACCTCCTTTTAAATGTCTCATGCTTGAACAGACAACACTTTTTAAGAACCAGTTCTCATTTAGCTGACTCCTGGTTTGTTTGTGTGTCTGACATCCCTCCGCCCCCTTGTCAAGCAGAGGAGCAACAACACATGGAGTTGCTGTCAACCTTTGCCCCTTAAAGTTCTAATTCAATTTACTTCTTTAATCAAAACTGTCACATTGATTTTACTTACGTTTGGAGGCCATCTCTGCAGCGATTCTTCTTACTCTTTGCGTAAGTCCTCACTCTCCATGCTTTTTTTGTCCCCCAGAGCTCAGTCAGCAATATAAGGCCTGGCTGGCCTAATTTTATCCTGTATTGGATACCCCCTGTTTGGACCCACTATCCACCCCACCCCTACCACTCTATCTCTCTCACTCTCTCTCCCTTGCTAACACACATACACACACACACATACAAACAGGGAACCTAAACCATCAGCATGTCCTTATTCCTTAGCTTTGAGAAGCTCACATACCTCTGGAGGCGACAAGGGCCTTCTCCCATATGCATCTCAATTTAGAAAAACTGCTGCAATAATAATTAATACGGTTGAGGTTTGTTGATTGTCAAATTCCCCAAGACGTATAACAGAAGTACTGACTGACATCTGAGGACTTCACATGTAGTGTCACTTTTATGCAAGTCAGTAACATGCTTTGGTCAAGAAAAAAAGATAGAGTGTAACTGGGTTCTTTACTCATCTGTTTAACAGCCCTGTTTGGACTGGCTGGTTTCTGAGACTATTTGAGCCTCTATGTTCTCAGCCCAGCTCTTCTGCAAAGAGTGGGTGTGAGGACGGCTTCATAGTCATATCTGAGTGGCTCAACATCACTATCCTCTACTCTAACAGGGCAATTGTCATTACTTGGAATCACAACGACAGAGGGCAGTTCTGCTTACAGTTACAATTTGCTCGTGGAAGAACTGTAATGTATTGACATTGGAAAATGGGTATTTAAATACATTCTTACATTTACTGATAAAAAACTAGAGTAAATAATACACTAGTACTGGGCAACAGTTACAATTTGCAATTTGATTGATCGCATGATAGTTCCAGATTAATTGCAATTAAATACACTATTTGCAGAAATTAAATACATTCAAAAGATGTGTGTTGCGGACATTAACTTCAGTATGCTCCATGGACAAACATGCAATCACATTTGGTGTGTAAACACTTCAGCAGCAACAGTTGCTGTAACCATGTCAGCATTTTCATCAGAGTAGTACATAATTTAAAACTAAATGTATTGAAAATACAAATGTTTGTAAGTTTTTCTGCCATGGTTTAATGTATTTAAAAATGGGTAATCCATCATATCATATTATAATGATAATATGATATGATAATAACTAGAAGAACCAGTAAAAATGTTTGAGAATTTGTTTTCCCAAAACAAAAAAACAAACAAAAAAACAGTAATATAATGCGCTAGGGGGCTTAGTAATGTAATTCTTAGTGTTACTAGTTAATGTGGCTACTACGTTGCAGTGCCTGCGATGTGCGCACTGACCTGTTGGTAGCAGTATCTGACTTTCAGCCGCGGTGCAGCTTCGCCAAACACGCACAGAGGAAGAAGCGGCAGCTGCTTCTCAAACAAACGAAGAGCATTTTAACAGTTATCCAGTTGTGGAAGTGAGGCGGCGTCATTCCCCGGTCACCCATTAAAATGAGTTCACATGGAGTAACTTACTGCTAACAAGTCACGGCTACATTTGATTTTGGTGCTGCGGTCATAGGTATGCTTTGTTTCTTCTTCTGTTGTTACGTTTGTGGTACAATCGTTTACTTAAATTAGTGACGTGAGCTAACTTTGAATCACGCCCTGCTTATCGTGAACCAGGGCTGTAGTATGTTACTCCATTTAGTTGTTGATGACAAAGAAGATAAAAAAACAATTATAACTTATGTCGCATTGACCAAATATCCGGCAAATAAAACCTTACAATAGGTCAATAGTTTTGTATAACAAAACAAAAATATATTCATCTCACTTGCTGGTCGATTGCATCTCAATTTCTCATCCCTGATAATTAAATAATGGATTCTACTTCAGTAGTTCATTCTAGTTGCTTGTTAATCCTTTTTATTTATTTATTTTTTCAGAGCAAAAACGATGAAAAAGGACTTTAAGCTAATGGAGGACATTGTTTTTCGAGGGGTGGAGTATTCTGTAAAATATGCGGTGGACAACAATTTACTGACTGTCGAAATTGAAGACTTGAAGACAGCTGATCAATGGAGAGGGGAGTTTGAGCCTGCTTGTGAGTTATTTAATTTCTTCATCAAAATGCCACTGTGATTACAAATGGTCAGCCTAACAGTGTAAATGTTTATTCAGGCATTGAGGACCTCACTCGGAAAACTGGAAACTTCAAGCAGTTTTCAGTTTTTTGCAGCATGCTGGAATCAGCTGTCAAAAATGTAAGTTTCTTTGAAGGGTACTTATGTGAGATACTGACATCCACAGTGTGGTCCAAAATATGCAGACATGGCATTTTGACAGTTGTCCTAAACTGTTGTTCTCACCTAAATTAGTATTCCATTTTAGGGAAATGTGCTATAAAAACACATGCTTTTAATAGTAAAAAATACTCACTGTATACCTTTTGAAAATAATTTTGCCTATTCTCCACATGAATAAAACGTCTAGCTTTTACTTATGGGTATGGATATTTGTAAAATAATCAGCAAAGTTTGATTTTGCCAGAAGAGGGCACCACAATCTGGGTTATGTCAATTATGGCAACATAATATTCTAAAACTTAGAGATCACAGATTAATACAAAACAGTGAATGTGCTAGTGTATTATGAAATTTGTTTTTTTAACAGCAAAGTTTGGGGATTTTTTGTGTTCTGCAGAAAAGTGATTCTGTCGAACTTGACCTCTTGACCTTTGCTGACTTGGAGTTGCTACGAAACAGAAAAACAGGAATGGTTAATCATCCTCGGAACAAGAAGCAGTCATCTGTCCTTACTGCCAAGAGATATCTGATCCTTATATACACCGTGGAATTTGATAGGTTTGTGTCTCTTAGAAATTGGAGTTTTTAAATATAAAGGCTGTCTGTTTTTTGTCAAGCATGTATATGTGTATATATTTTTATTTACTTTTGTGTTTATGTATAATTGTATGTTTAGGCTCTGTATATTTTGATTTTGCTACTGGTAATAACAATTGTGATTTTTGTTGTTGTTGTTGTTGTTCTGTGTTGGCAGGATACATTACCCTTTGCCACTACCATATGTTGGGAAGCCCAACCCAGCTGCACTGCAAAAGGAAATCAGAGCCCTAAGGGCTGAGATCAGTGCTCTCACATCTAATGGAGATAACAGATGTGCATTGGAAATAATACAGCAGCTGCAAGCTGAGTAAGTTTTAAACAAGGGGGTGTTTTCCATGTTTGTTTGTTGTGACCTTAGAGTCTATTTGTATTGTGTGTTGTAAAATGCTAAATATACAGATTACCAGCACCGATTGGCTTCCATTAAAGGAACGGAGAAAAACAAAATCAAAAGCTGACATTTAAATAAATAAATAAAGATGTTATTATTAGTGTGTTCTGGTCATTTGAGCACGATAAAACACACTTTGTTTATAAAAAACCCTTTTTTGTTTGCGTTTTGGGTTTCTTTAGCTGTGAGGAAATGGGGGGGTGTCAACCCTTTTGGGCTATAGTAGGGGTTTAGGAGCAGCTGCAATTTAAATGACCTAAACAAGCAATTAAAACCACCAAGCCAAGAGTTGTTCCTATTAACAATGTCCTGCTTCTTCTTCAGGCTTGTTATGGTGAAAGAGGAGAACAACGAGATGACCAAAGTTTTAGAGCAACTGCGGATGAGAGCCAATGTCTCTCCGTTTGGCGTAGACGACTGGAGGGTCAGAGATGTGGTGAGAGCCCTGGAGGAGCAGCTTGTTAAAGAGAGAGCCGAGAGTCATCAGACAGCAAGAAAGAGATTCCAAGAGCAGAGAATATTAACGGAGCAGGTAATACCACTTTTTATTCTAAAGTAATCTTCTGGAGAATATTTGATTAAGTTCTAACTTTTGTTTCTCATTTATTTCTAGGTAGAGGAGCTAAGAGCATCAGAACGTGAGCTCCGTCTTCGCATCAAGAACCTCTCAAGTGAACTGATTTCACTACGGAGGAGGTTAGACATTGACTTTTAAGTCATTTTTATTAACTTGCTGTTTTAAGTGATTGCCGTAGGGCATAATTTAGAAAAATATAGTGATCTTCTTCTCTCAATTTGCTTTATATAGAACATGATTTTAAAGTTTTTTCTTAGAGGTTTTTACCCTGTGTGTGTGCAGTGAAGCAACTCAAGGATCTTATCTTCGTGGAGAAAAATATCGCTCCCTCTCGCGGGAGAGGAAATCTAGCTGTGGAACAGTCAGGTCTTCCTCAGGATCAAGAGAACAGATACACAGAGAATTCCAGCAATCAAACGACAGAGGCCGAAGATCAGGCTCATCCAGACCGTCCTCTCAAATATCAAGGCGGTCACTCTCCCCGGCTGGTAACTATTTTATTTATAGTGTTGTGTGTCCGTTGTCCCTTGACCTTTTGTTTACAAATTAATTACATGTGATTGTAGACCATAATGTTGCAAAGAGAATACCGGTACATTTGTTTTTCTGTCTTCTGTCCAGGATCACGAGTACCACACTTTGACCCGACTGCATACGTTCAGGAACGACAACGCAAACAGCAACAGGCCAAACTCAAAAAGTAGGTCAACTTAAAAGATACCAAAGTCAAAGGTAGTCAAAAAGATTGGTATTTCTTTGGAATGAAGTACCAGTGCTGGGATTTATATATATTATGATGTCAATCACAGTCCATTTCACAGTCAACTTGTCAGCCTTAACTTCTGTCCTGCACTCAGTGAGAGTGGTCTGACACAAGCCAGGCAGCTCACCTGAAGTTGAAGCCTCCACAAACACATGCAGGATGGGTTTTTTGTAGTTGCAGTTGCTTTGTTTAAACAAAAACGTTTTACTGCAGTGTAGAAACTTGATCAATAACTTTACAGGATAGCTGTAGTTTTTTCATTTATAAACATGTTTCTATTCGTCAGGCAAAGAAAAGTGCATAGGGACATGATGTCATCACCCGTTATATCTGAGAGGGGGCGCTCAAGCTCCAGAGAGCCTCGTCCTCTACTGGAACGACCTGGCAGCAGGCGGAGTCTATCTGGGGGACGCCAAAGAAGCAGGAACTCCTCAGAAAGCTCCTTTGTGGAGAGCCAGGAAATGACCAAAGCTCTGCTCAGGTGATTGGACGAGTCCTCGTAGGCTGCGTCAAGATGCTTCTGTTTAAAGATGTATTCTCACATTTCTGTTTTTGTGCTAGCAGTGGATTAAAACAGATGTACACTGACAACAAACCCAACACCGTGAGTAACATTGTACAAATTCTCTATATGGAGGTACGACAGGTCTGCTATGTTAGCAAATGTAACGTTTTTGATTGTCATTTTTGCACCTTTTTTTTCTAGACCAGAGGAGGCCGTTTGACCAGGAAGCCATTGTGCAGTACTCCGACACAGAGAAGAAGAGGAAGAGGTGGTTCATTATTTTTTTAAAGAAATAAATGTGTTACAACTGTCTAACCATGTCTAACTGCCACTGCCACCTCTGTCTCCGTCTGCAGAGAGCGCCATAAACAAAGGGGTGGAACTTTCAAGGATTGATGCTCGGCTTCAGGCGCTTCAGAACTATATGAGGGACCTGCATACGGAACAGTAGCTCACAGTGCTTTACATGTACCTGAGGCCTGGTGAAACCATACAGGGATACATCATCTATCAGCCAAACTAAAAAGACTGACAACTTTAGAAGCCCAGCTAGAACTTTCCAGATACCTTTTTTGTGATCTTCTAAATGGGGATTGTTTTTATACACTGGGTTTTTCTACAGAAGAGAATCCTTCGTACGTAACCTTTACACACAAACCACACCAAAAATCTAAAACATTCTTTTAACAGCTGACGCAGACCTTATGAATTCCTATTTGATTTATTATGCATAGTCCTTTATGGTTCACTTATGGCTGCAATTATAATTATGAGGAATTCATCAACTCCAACAAACTTCAAAAATCCAGTCAACAGTCCTGTAGAAGGATTGTTGCATTAGTCACTAATTTTTGGTCTTTTGTAATAAAAAATACTTCTTTTGTCCAAATCTTGAAGTAATTAATACTTAATTAACCATTGTCTCATGCTTGGTTGGAGAAGTGAACTTTTTTAAAAAAGTTAACATTTCATAATGGTTAAAATACAAATGGTCAAGCAAATGAAAAAGTGTAAAGCAAAAGCAAAATTTTGATCTGTCATGTTTATTTATTAAAAACTTTATACAAAAATGTGTACAGGCTGGTATTTCTGTGTGAATTCAAGACAAAGATTGTTAGTAGATATGATTTCTGTCCCTTAATAAAAGTTTATATGTTTCTCTCTAATTGTATTTTCTAAAAGTAGCAGGTAAATAAAGAAAGAAAATTGTGTACTGAAATAACGCGAACGACTTCCTTGCGATGACGTAACAGATGGGCCTCTTCGTCATTTTCAATTGCAGTACCAGCAGTGGACACTGACATTCAATGGATGGCGCCTCGTTTCAGAATCCACTTCCTATAACACATCTACGAACCAACCGGGTACGTTCGTAGCTTCGCTATATCGTCTGAAAAACAGTGATTCAGTGGAAGGGAGCAAAACAAATCTTTGAGTCGTTGCAGCTCCTGCTCAATGCCGCATCGTCTACAGGGATGTTAAGGTAAAACCATCGTGTCTGAAAAGCTGTTGTCTACAAACTTAGCAGCTAACTGGCTAGCTTGAACGTTCACCATAATACAATCACTGTAACTTTAGACAAATGTATTTCATTAAGCGATGCATAATGATATACATGCGTAAGAATGTTTTCAGTCAATAGTATAATTTGGCTTTTGTAAGTGCTTACAAAAAGCTAACCTGACTCCTCATTTTGCTTAATAAAGGACCATGATGTGGTCGGTCTAAAATAATTCACGTTTAACGTTTAACCTTAACAGTAATAGGTATTAGATTAAGTTGGTAAAATAAGAGTTGCTTAAAAATAGGAATGGAATTTTAATTTACTTAACTTTGATTCTGCTTAGTAAAAAATGAGTATTCTCATCTTCCAAAGGGATGAATAAAGATCTATCTATCTATAAATTGCTAGCTAGCCCTAAATACAGGTTGGGGCTGTGTATGTCTTCCTAAGAGCAACATTTAATTTGTCGGTCATACTGTATATTTTACAAATATACATTGAATAACTATAAAGTTTGGAAAAGAAGGAACAAAAAAAAAAGTTATCCATTTTGTGTGTGGCAAAAATAAAATTAAAAGGCACGTACATACATTGCTGTCTATCTTAAAGGTTGATATGTACATATATATTTCATACATATGGTAGTAGTATAGTATAGTAGTATAAGTGTCTATCCTTATCAGGTTTCAGGGTGATTTACAATATCATTTTACAAATTTGACTAAATGTTTCCTAATGTTTGCAAAGCTTATTCATATAGACCCGTCATCTAGATCATAGCTCTAAATACATGCTTTTGGATTTTATTGTAGCAACACTCCCAACAAGCTGAACCTGCTGGTCAATAAGTTGCATGAATACCTAGCTCAAGCTGCTGTCGAGGGCGGGAATGACGCACAAACTACACAGGATGCTGATGGTATTACTTCTAATCCTCCACTAATAATTAAAGCATTTTCTTCCTAGTGAAATTCCTGAAATGTTAATATTGAACTGTTTACAGGTCAGACCAAACAGCAATACTGCGAGATTAACTCGAGAAGTCACACCGCAGCAGAGGTAACTCAACGTTCTTAATATCTTTTATGCAGCCTTTGACCATTTCTTACATGTTAACCAATGTGTCAAGACTGTTTGATTGGTTTCACATATTTTTGTTGGTAAATAATTGTCTGGAGTTAATTCTCATCAGTGCATCAGAACTTAAATCTCATATCTAATTTTGTTAAGAATTTTTGCTTTTCAAATTGTTTAAAATTATAATGTGATGGGTTGAGTAATTTTAAAACTGGAGCTTTGTGTTTTAGGTAAAACAAACCTTCATATTCAATCAGTTTAATTACTTTAGAGAGTTTTTGAAAGGCGTATTTTTCAAGCACGAGGCTAGCGGTTTATTTCTGACTAAAAAGCGTCAGTTGCATCTCCGAGGTCTGACACTTCCTTCCACCTAAAATACCTTTTTGTTCTTTTCTCACTCATCAATAACCAAATTGACAATGTCTTTCTCTGCAGGGAGAATGGAAAAACAGAAGCTCAAAGAGGTGAGTCATCCTTTCCTCTGCAGATGTTTTTATTTCCTAACTGAATGTTTATGTAAGTTCTCAGTCATCCAGACCATCTTATCTGAAGCAGTTACATCAAGGGCTACTGGACTTGTTTGGTTTCTTGAAGTTCCAAGAGGCTTCTTCAGTTCTAACTGAATGCTGGCAAAATTCTGACATTTAACCTTGGATTGGCAGAATATCTGAAAAGGAGGGTTGTTTGAGAAATGATAGGAAATGACCGTCCACTATTCCAAAGGGAGGAATGTTGTGGTCACAAGGGTTATGGTGTCACCTGAGATGGCAAACATCGAGATAAAATACCAGAATGTTCCCAACAATGAACTGAACTTGGATGAGATGAGAAATGTGTTCCATGTTTAATGTTTACCTGTTTTACCTTTTTGGTGCAGTATGAGGGCCCTAGTGTGAGAGCACATTAGATGAAATTGGACAGTTACATACATTCCAGCAAAAATGTAAAGGCCATTGAAACTTACTGTTTAAGCGTAAAGTGTTTTTTGTAAATAGTGAATCTCTACAATTATTATGTTAAAATGTTTCCATAAAACCTGGTGGATTTTTACAGGAAACCTACTGTAGTTGTCAAGCACTCTGGACTGGATGAATCTGGAAACTCAAATGCAAGCGAGGATGTGGATTTAACAATTGATGAAAACAGCCATCTAAATGTCACCAGGCTTCCTAAAGGTATGTCATCAAGCCTTTCACCGTGATCACACAACATGGAACCTTGTTGATGTGTCTGTTTAATTGAAAGGTGTTCAATGAATGAATGGTTATTATTTGTTAAATATTTGTAGGCACTCTGGTGGTCAGGCCTGAACCTGCTGTCAATGGAAGGGATGATTTCAGAGGTCCAGAGTTCCGGAGCAGAAAGTCTGGTGTGCTGCGAAAGGAGTTCACAAGAAGACGTCGAGGTCAGTGGTGGCCAGTTTGGTTTTGTTTGTTGTTTTAAACATTTGTCTTGTTGGTCTCACATTACTATCCAGTTTGTTGTAGTGAAAGTAATTGTGTTTTGTTTTTTATAGGAGTTGAAAACATGGGCATTGTCAGTTGCACTGCATGCGGCCGGCAAGTGAATTATTTTAAGAAAGATACCTTTTGCCGGCATCCAGCTCTGAAAGTGCTTATTTGCAAGGTAAGTTAGCTCAATAATACTGCACAACTGCTGCGTCATCTTTATAATTATCTTTACATATACTTTAATTTACATGTAGTCTAACAGAGTTGCAAGCGATACATTTCATTCTCATGAACTCAACATAAAGCCAAAACATAGTGAATCGATGTGAATGTTTTGTTGATTATTTATTGGACCAAAGGTCCAGCTCCAAACATTAGAACACATTTTGACCATTATATTGGTTTTACACAAACTGCTTGTATGTAGCAAACATCTTTGGGTATTTCACATAACACAAATATTTTTCTTTGTCAGTCTTGCTGCAAGTATTACCTAAGTGACGACATCAGCAAGGATGGAGATGGAATGGATGAGCAGTGCAGGTATGCAACCTGTATTTTTGTAACACATGAAGTTACACAAATATCCAAACTAACATATTTGTTGAGTACAACTGCATTTTACATGGTAGACTTTTTTTTAACTTACTACAATTTCTAACAAGATCTCTTAAAATTACTCTATGAGTTCATTGCAAATATTATTATGCCAGCAGTAGTTTATTTGCAGCTGTTGTTATTTTCTCCTTTCTACTTGCAGATGGTGCGCTGAGGGGGGCAACTTGATCTGTTGTGACTTCTGTAGTAATGCTTTTTGCAAAAAGTGCATTCTTAGAAATTTGGGACGGAAGGAGCTGTCGGGCATCCTGGAAAGCAAGTGGTACTGCTATGTATGTAATCCAGAGCCACTGTTTGATCTGGTGGTGGCCTGTGACAATGTGCTTGAGAACATGGACCATCTGTGGCAGCAGCAGCCCAGGAAAAACAGGATAGAGCCGGAGAGATCTGGTCTCCAGAACAGTTTGCCACAGTTACCACAAAACATTCCTTCAGATGAATGGGATCATTCTGGTATGGATGGAAATGTGGTGTTTAACTACAACACACTGCAGGCTTCAAAGGAATTAACCAAAAAGGCCAAACATTTGGTGGACTCAACAAACACTTTAAACAGAATATTTATAAATTTCATTCATACTGTGACAAAAAACAGTCAAACAGCCAGTGTTCGCCTGTTGTATCTGAAGTCTTTTTTATCAGTTGTAAAAGTTTTGCAAAAAACACTTGCTGTGTTTGAAGAAAACCTTAAAGAGGAATTCACTGACTTGGACGTAGTGAGCTGTTGGGAGCAGTACCTTAATGATGACTCTACCTCAGAGCCAGCAGACGTAGAGCTCAGTATTTCAGATGAAACGTGTCTGAATGACTTGACGAAATTGGCAGCTGAATACGCAAAAGATGAGTCTGATCCAAAGTGTTTTAGGGATGAAGGAGTTCAACAGACGAGCTCTGTAGATGATGTCATTTCAAATTCATGTGACGCCAAAGAGAGGAAAGAAAAAGATGACTTAAACTCCAGTGAGGTCAGTGTGAGAAAAGAACTTGTAGTGAAACTTACCCCTGTGGCTATGGAGCAGAAGTCCTCTTCCAATAACCCACAGATGGAGAAAAGTATCGACGAAAAGTCAAAAGGAAAGGATGAATGTAAAGAGCCAGAGGTTCAAGGGGTTCAAATATTGAAGGAAGCTGCAAGTGCATCTTTGCACATGAACGAGAAATTAGCTGAGAGACTATCTCCTCGTGTGAAAACAACACCTTTGCGCAGACCGAGTGATGTCAAAGCCCAAACATCTCTTTCACCCGCAGAAAGTGATAGTGATTCTGACCCTGATGAAATTGACCCTGTGGTATCAGCCAGAATCAATGAGGAGCAAGGTCTAAGTACAGCACGGGATGACTCCGACTCGGATGAAGTCCCCCAGGCTCTGCTTGAGCGCGCAGCTATGACTCACAGCTCTGAAGAAGGCCAGAGTGACGAGGATGATGAAAACACATCGACAAAGGTGGCGAAGAAATGTCTGTTTTGGCTCAACAAGAACATGCCCATCTCACCAAAAAAAGAACATCACAAACGCAAGAAACTCGACTGTTCGCTGAATTATGACTCGAGCAAACAGAGAGTCAAAGCTCGAAGGAGGAGCGGGACTGACCTCTCTGGTGATGATCGTGATTCTCAAAAGAAAAAACAGTGTTTGCGTTCAAGCTGTAATCCCATCAAGAGAGAGGAGAAGGGTGTGTCAGGAGAGCGAGCGATGGACACGGCAAAGTCTAAATCCCATCAGGAAGTGATAGAACTGTCATGCTCGTCCAGTGAGGATGACCGAGATGACTCCGCGAGTGATGGCAGCGATCAGAAAATTAAGCCCATCACTGATGACATAGCCTTACATGGGATGGTGCCATTTCACCAGTCGTCAGGTGAGTCTTTCGTGTTGATTATGTTGTGTTGGGACCAAACCTTTGTTATTGTTGATGTTACTCCGCACTGGCTCAGATGAATGTCGTTGTGCATCTCAACACAAAAATAATTTATTCAGATTTTATAGAAACAAGAAAACTTGTTGCGATCATTGTAGAACTGTGTAAGAACTGCATGATGGGATGCTCCGGTGTGATGAAAGTTAGATGATAATAATGCCTTTTGTCATCGAGAAGACCCGGCCGAAACAGGAAGTCATGATGATGCAGGCAGTCAGGGTTTGACACAGGGTCACGGGTGTGTGATTAACAGAAACGTGTGTCTTTGTCATGTTTGTCCTTGCAGAGGATGAGGATCAGTTTGGGTCCTCGTGGGTGGCCAAGGATGACGATAATCCAAAAAATAGGTATGATTCAAAATGCTCTGAAATAAAGTTTGATAAACCGCATATGGCTGGAAGAAAAGCTGCCACCCGAGAAAAAACATTTAAGAAGAATATCATCAAGACTAGGTTACGGCGGCGTTGCACACGGCCAAAACGTAGCTGCAGTCAATCCCCAGCGTTCAAATACACATCTTAGAGTTCCGTGGTTAAGCACACAGCTGACATTCAGACGCAGTGAGACTGTATCTGCTGCCAGTATTTAGGTAAAAGTAAGACTTTGTGTGCTTTTTATGATTTTTTTAAAAAGATTTATACATATTTCTTATATTGTCTTGTTTTATTAAGCTGTGATCTCGGTTTTTTTAATTAATTAATTTTTTATCTTATTTGATCGAGTCCTTTCTTGGCCTGGTGAGCTATAAAACATTGTTACGTTCTTTTAAATCTCACAGAATGCTGGTTTCAGTCCAATGCATTTCAATTCTCCTACTCTTGTCAGTCAAGCACTAATCTAAAGGCCAAACTACTGACATAACCTCCTAAATGACTTAACCTTCTATTACTACTATTTTCCGTTTGTCTTCCCGGGAGGTGAATTACAACCACGTACTGAATGGCGCCTCCTGTGGCAGCCAGTTGTTTGCAAAGACACACTGTGAATTTCTCCATAGTGGGACAAATAAGACACTTCAATTTTTTATTTTCTTCAGTTAAGATTAGGTTGACAAGCAACCGGTTACCGTTGGTTACCGTGCATAACGTGATCTGCTTCTGCAGACGGCTGTTCTCAAGCTGTGTTTTCACTAGATGATAAATGTCACCACATTTATAATTTTGTTTCCTGAAATTAATTGCAATACCGTGTTGTTAAAAGATTAAAATCTACATCATTCTACATTATTTCTCAGTATTATTATTCAAGTTTTTTAAGCACTGTTTAAAGATTGTGCATTTATTAACCAAACCAGTTGTAAACAAATGCATCAATTCCTACTCATAACTATGTCAAGGTTTTGTGGTGAACTTTGCATAACAAATAAAATTCTTCATATTTCATGGATCTACAAATGCTGTTAATGGCATGTATCCTGTTGAAGGCACTTGACTGTTGTTGTATTGAAAGAAGAAATGTAACTGTTGCTGTGCATTGGGGATGACAGTCCTTAAACCTGCAGGTTTCTACTATTTGTCTTCAATATCAATTTTATTGACTCCTTGATTGAACGCTAGACTGAGGGTGCACTCACACTGAGGCCGTCGTACTGCCGTGTTTGGAAACGGTGGGCCAAAATGCGGAACACATGGCCAAAGTTCGCACATGCCTGGCTAAGTACATCTCTTGCTGACTTCAGAATAACCTGCGATCCGCCTCCTTGCGCACTCTGTCTCTGTAAAAATCTTTGTATGTGTGCAGCACGATTGGCTGCAGTTGGCCACCTTGCACAGTCCTTAAATCAAGACATTTCAAGGGCTGACTCTTTTGAAGATACTGTTGTTCACACAGCAGCTGTTGCAGCCTTTGTTGTCAGAGTCGTGCTGCTTTAACCGCACATAAACAACAGTCATTGATGAATATGTTGGAGGCAACCGGGCTTCAGTTGTTTGCCTTAGGGGTAATATAACTGACCCCGGTGTGAGTGCACCCTTAGACTTTCTTTCTTTGTCATTCAGATTTACATGTCTGTGTAAGTTCTCAGTCGTCCAGCTCATCTTATTCCAAGCAGTTACATCAACTGGACTGGTTTAGTTTCTTGAAGGCATTTCACCTTAATAAGTAGAAATTGAGGTTTAAAAAAAAACTATTGCTGTTGCTATTCCATTTATTTGAATCTCAAAGATATTCTAGAGTTTATGGTCTCAGTCACTGGTTTCAGGTCTCTGTCAATGGTTAAGATAATAATATGTCTCTTTGTGAAAAGGAAAAAGAGAAACCAAAACTTTAACAGACATAAAGTGCTCATGGAGACACCAGCTTCATTTTGTTTCATATAATTTGACATTGACATGGCACTGGTCTTCACTTGTGGGTTCTCTGTTTTTTGTTGCCCCCCCTGACGCTGGTTGATGGGATGTCCTCTGGTGGTAGATCCTATTGTTACGTTCTTGGCCGTTGATTAGATATACTGTAAGTCCATTTTTTGTGGTTCTGTTTTAGTTTTTTACTGTGATGGTATGTGACCGTGAGGGCAGCAGTCTACCTCAGTACTCAGTACTCTTTTTCATTACTGTTTTTTCCTTCATTGACACAGACATGGTGGAAGAAACTGTCAAGTTTCTTCACGTTCTCATTTCTCCTATATTGGTTAGAGAACAAGTGTTTTTGCGTAAATGATGTAGTTGAGTCCACAACAGTGTTTTGAATCATTGAAATGGGCTCCACTTGGATAATGCACTGGTGCTGTCATCAATACAAAAACTTGATGAAAACAAATGTTGGGTGGGAAATTGTTGCACTATATATTCCTAGTGAAGAAACGCCTATTTGTACCCATTTTAGTACAAATTTGTTCATTGGCCAGGCAACAGTAATGTATTACAGACCATTAATTAGCGTATCAGTATTAAGGACTGCAAGAGTGGTACAAGCCCACATTGAAACAATGATTCTTCTGGTTGGTGCCTTTATGAACCTTTATAAAGGGAACAGGGAACAGGGTGTGTATGAGAGTTTAGAGTGGGCTGTGAGACTCCATATTGTCACTGTATCTTTAATGACATGAATGTTTCTCATGTTTCTTCCAGGTCGGATTTTCTGACAGCACAACAGTGAAAGCAGTGCTGTTAGACAACAAACACTTAAGTCTGGGATATCGTTGTTGTTGTTGTTGTTGTTGTTGTTTTTGTAGCTGTAATGATAGCACTAGAAAGTGGTCAGCAGAAATGTTGAAAGTGTTTGTAGTGAGTGGGATGAAAACAAAAAGGACTGTGTGAACTCACAAAGCATGTTACCTACTCACTCTCTGGTAGTACATGTCTCTCTCTCTCTCTCCTGGCAGTTGAAACATTTTTAATGTCACTGCATACGGTCTCTTCCAAACATGTCAACTTCTTAGTACAATTTAAGCAGCAAAACCCAGTAGACCAGGTGTAATAAACGGATGTATCCTCACGGTTCGAAAACAAACCTGTTGGAGAAGAATTGCCCGCAACGTTCAGCTTTTTGTTAAGTGTAGGTTCCAAAACATGAAGAGGCGATTGAACAGTTCATCAAACCATAAACAGCTCTAAATCTGATCATAATTTACAACGTTGACATGTTCTATTGTAGAAGACCTGAATCTAGCAATTGAGACCTCAGACTCCTCACTAAAGTTATACATAATTTAAGAACTTTGCTCTACCTGCTGTGCTTTGGTGTTTTATGTCTAACTTTTGCACATGTTCTATGGTATGTATCCAGTGATTGTGATGAGACTTGCATTGTATTACAAGAAAACAGTATATAATGCAAGTACTTGAAAACAAAACCTGCGTTCCCCGAGTATTTCCTTCTGTTGTTCCTAAATATTCACCGTGAGCAAAAAACCAGGAGTTTTAGAAGATGAGGAAATAAGAGTTCACTGTGAACAAATATTCATGTACAGTTTGTTCCTAGTCATTTGATGTGTATGAGGGGTTTTTTTACAGTTGACTGGTTTAAAAAGAATGACTGGGAATCTCACCCATCGCCCATGTTACACAGAAGAATAAACTATTGAGTTGTCTTTGTCCAATATTTTTCATGTTTCAAATAAGTTGAATAAACTTTCCCTGTAAAATGTCATCTTTGACTCATCTTTGATTTGATTAAAGTGTTGACTGTGTTGATGCATTTGCTGAAAAAAAAATGCAATTAATACCAAAACGTTCTGCTGTAAACCATGATTATTTACATTCTTATTGACATTGTTGTCAATCAAAAGAAGTGGTTTAGGCACTTATTTTAAAAGTACTCGTACAATGGTAAAATAACATTTTGTTTGCTTACACTTAAAAAAAACTTTCTATCTTCATTTCTTTCTATTTCATTGTGGCATTTATTCTTTTGTTGCTTTGCTACCAAATATTTAATGAAATGACGTGATATGATTCAGTCTTGTCTTGATCACTCAACGTTGTCATCCAGATCAAAGGTAAGATCAAAGCAATTTACTTAGAAAACATATTTGTATGCTTTTCCAATGAAGTGAGAGATGTCAAAGCAAATGGTTGGCCAGAGGCGGCCAAGAACAACTCAGTGGCAGCAGTGCACACAGCTGTCTGGTCTACTGAACAACAGAAGTACGTGCCAAGTGTGGCAAAAGTTTTTATAAGAGTAACACTTGTTTTGTTCAACCTGACAAAATATAAAATGTCACAAAAGACATACAATGAGCAGTGGGGACAAGCACAGCGTGAGCTGAGTTGCCTGCTAACTGATGAGACTCCTGATGAGCCGCCTCCCCCAGAATTGGACCGAGTAGTTTTCTTCAAGCGTGTGGCCAGATTTTATGTGCGCTACATCCAGGTTTTCAGACAGCTGGATAAGGCATACGACCTTCTGGTTCACCCTCAGAAGAGAGAAGTTCTTCGAGAAATTCTTGATGGAGTGATGGGGAGGTTGTTGGAGCTGAAGAAAGACATGGTAGAGGCTGAGTTTTCAGAATTCCACTACATGGACGATATTGTTCAAACATTAAAGCTCACACCGACAGATCTTCAGCTCCCTATACCTCATTATTTTATCACCGAACATAGCAAGGAACGGACAGATATCCTTCAAGATATTGCACTTGTCAAGGCCATTGAGACTATTCAAGCTGTTGAGAGGGCTCGCCAAGCACGCATGAAAGCAAAGCTGAAGAAAATGAGCAAAGTTGTAAATGGCGATGGTGATGATGAAAATGATGATGAAAAAAAGGTTGATATGATTGAAGTTTCTGCAGCGCTTCGCATTCAGAAGTTGTGGAGGGGTTATGTGCAAAGGAAGATAATAGCCCAGGAATCAATTTTGACTTCTCAGGAAGCAAAAATGGATTTGCATATAATCATTTCCCAAGCTAATGATGCCTGCACGCGGATTAAACAGCAGGAGTATATGGAAGATTACCACAATTCCATAGCATCTATTACGAAGGAAGTAAAGGATTTGGGTCCTGACATGAGCAACACAATGAAAGACCGAATTCGACAGTGGTTCTTAAAATGCCGACATGCCGCTGGGATATTCCCAGAATATCCTGATGATATACATGGCGGAGGAGCGCTCATTTTGGTGGATAAGGACCCCCTCCAGGTAATGAAAGAAATTGCTGCACAGAAGGAGGAAGATAAAAATAATAAATTGAAGGGAAAAGATGAAAAAAAAGGCAAACAAAAAGATGGAAAAAAGGGAAAAGTAAAAGAGGAAGGATTGAGGATGCAAAACTCTGCTTTTTTATCAGACTTACAAGAAGCAAACAAACAATTTAAAGAATTTTGGGAAACCTGTGATGAGTCCAACAATTTCCACCAAAGACATTTGGCACAAATAATAAGAGACGAAAAAAAGAAAATTTTTGATGCAGAGATTCAATTAGAGGTCGATGAGCAAATGAGACTAGAGCTAGCTGCAATGAAGCTAGCTGTGGATAATATTAAGGGAGGAAAGGCTAAAGGAAAGAAAGGCAAGAAAGGAGGTGGGAAGGGGAAGAAGGGAAAACAGGTAGTTGACCTAACAGCTGATAGGACTCTGGAGTCTCTGTGTCAGGAGCTGGTGGAACAGAACTTGTTAAAAGCAACAGCTGATATAAGTCTGAGTGAATACACAGGCAATTATAGCTACCTTGGTGCAATATTAAGAGAAAATGCCATTGAACCCACACCTGCATTATTAGATGTGAGACAACTTCTAACGTTGTATGCCGTATTACCACTAGGCTCTCGGGCTGTTCACCAGAAAGGGCCTCTGATTACGTCCATACTACTGGTAGGGCCAGCTGGCATAGGGAAGAAGATGTTGGTCCAAGCCGTTTGTAATGAAACACAAGCCGCCCTGTTTGATCTGTCACCCATGAACACAGCAGGAAAATACCCAGGTGATGATGGCCTTAACATGATGCTTCACATGGTCTTTAAAGTCGCAAAACTCCTACAGCCTTCAGTGATCTGGATTGGAGATGCAGAGAAAATGTTTTACAAGAAGGTTCCTAAACACGAAGAAGAGTTGACCCCTAAACGGCTGGCAACATCGCTGCCAAAGTACCTGAAATTAATCAAAGGAGACGATCGTGTTCTTATACTGGGAACCGCCGAAGACCCTATATGTGCCAATATCAGGGCGTTGTGTAAAACATTTGGCAAAATCCTTTTCATCCCCAGACCTGATTATGGCGCAAGGTTTATTTTATGGAAGGAGCTTATCAAAAGGTATAATGGTGAGGTTACAGAAGCTATTGATTTCAGCTCTCTTGCTAAGATGTCTGAAGGGTACACACCAGGTCTCATGATCCAGGTAATACAGCAAGTTGTCACAAAGCGACGCATCCGATGGCAGGGTTTCAGACCACTGACTACAGCTGAGTTTGTTGCTCATATAGTAGCAATAGACCCTGCATACAAAAAAAAGGAGGACGCTTTGAAAAAGTGGTATGGTAAAACACCCCTTGGAAAGAAAAAAATAGCATTTGAAAAGAAAAAAGCCAAGGAGGAAGAAGGCAATGAGCCAAAAAAGTAAATAATTTAATCTTGATAGTTATTTTGTTTTACTGTAACCTTGGCGATTTTCCTTTATTGGGTAACATTTACTTGACCTGGTGTAGTCAATGTATGAATTTGTGTTCCCATAACACCATTGATTGATTTTGATTTGCAACATTAAAGAAAATCTGTTTAATTTTGAAGCTTCTTGTTTCCTAATTAACACAGTATTTAGTAACTAACGACCTCAAGTGTTTAATAATGTACCATTTGAGACTTAGGTTCAACTTTTACAATATACCACGTTTCTCACCGAAATAAAATAAAGGCAATTACTAGAGCTTTTAGTCTGTACATACCATGCTAAATGTATAAAATGTTTTGACCAAAACAAAATACAAATCCCTGACGAATGACCCACGGAAACCTGCAAGACAAGACTAGGGGTTTTAATCGGCTCGGTGTCACGTCATGTGACTCTGTCCTAAACAGGAAGTAGCTAAATCTGACTTCGTTGGCTGCTTCTCTTTAATGTGTCTCACTTACACGGCACAAAGGAATGGACATAGTATCGACTGCCTAAGTATTAGAAACACAGTGAGTAAAAGACACACTTCTAAAGATGCATTTGAAAAATGTGCCTATTGGTCCTGTAACTATCCCACGCGCACGAATCTTCCCTTCGTCGTGACGTGGTGGCTAACTTAGCATTAATCTTGGTGTTTAACCCTTAACAAAAGTTAAGGAGGAAAATATTAAATATATATATTTACATTGATTATGTTCAACTAATGTCGGAGTGAAAACATTGCAATCTGTGAATTCGACCGTGTATTGATTAAATATTAAGGTTTTTGGAAGATGGTAAACTACACATTCGTGTTTGTTTACCAGTCACAGAAGAAAAGCGTCACCTGACCTGCTGCGCAGACGAAAACTACACGTCGTGTCTGTTGCAGAGTGTGATGTCCAGCACAGCAATGAAGAAAAAGGTGAGTGTGACGCACAGTTAAAAGCAAAACGCATATTTGTGTAATAACAAACCGCTGTAGGTGGTTGACACCTCTCACAGACTGTATATCTTAAGTTGCATTCTTTATATGAAATGGACACTCGGTGCTCTCATGTTGAACTTGACGTTTAAAAAAGAAAAGGTCCCAGGACACCGATGTGATTAACAAAACCTATAGCATAAGGTTTTGGGGAAGTTTATTTAACTGAATACCAAACAATAGAAATGATTACAGACCAGGACTTTAAATGAAATTGTAACAACAAAGTCGAACAGAAGAATCTGTCACGCAAAAAATCTGACGAATGCTTCAAGCAGGGGTAGGAAGAAAATGAATCCAGAACAATCCTCAATTCTAAAAAGATGAGCAAAGGGTATGATCAAATTAAATCTATATTTATCTGGAGGACTTTAGGATCTTAAAACGATTTTAACGGTTTTAATTCTATAACATGTATTGACTATGCAATAGACCAATGAAAGGTGGTTGATGGTGGAATTACTGGCCATAGGGGGAGTTATTCTGCTTAGACATTTGTTTAGCTTTTTACTGTTCAACAGAAATTGAAATTATGTAGCCTTAAATTGACATCAAACATTGACTTGAATTCATGTTTTATCTTTTGTCTAACTCCACATTTTGTCTGAAAATAAGGAAAAAGGTTTTTTTATGCAGTGGCCATTAACAGCATTACAATGTCTGACTTATTACATTATTTGTATTTTAAGGTACTGCTAATGGGGAAAAGTGGGTCTGGAAAGACCAGCATGAGATCAATCATTTTTGCTAATTACATTGCTAGAGACACACGCCGCCTAGGAGCTACAAGTAAGAACATTTTAAAGCCAAGTGCTAATTTTTTATTTACATTTGTATTTGTTTTATTGTTGTCAGTTTCATATTTATCACCATCTTGTTGCCTACAGTTGACGTGGAGCACTCTCATGTGCGGTTTCTCGGCAATCTGGTCCTCAACCTGTGGGACTGCGGAGGGTAAAGTTTAATTTATTGGATCTATTTATTGGACTCTTTTCCAGACAAGTTTTGTTGTAGCTGTTCACCAAATGTGTTCCTTTTCCACTTTAATTTCATTAGATACAAAGTCTGTACTGACTTTGGCTCATGCAGCCTCGCTACAGGACCTGCCAACAACAAAAAGTCCTTGTAGTTGATGATGTAACAAAGACAGCTTCAGCTTGGTTTTGCGGTTTTAATTGTGTTTGAAATTAAAAAAATGCCTGTGCCACTTCTCTTGGCTAGTAATGATACGGAGGAAAAGCTGCTCTACTTTTGTATTCACTTATGTTCAAGAGCCCAAAGACACAGGGAACTGTTCAAACCTTTTTTGTTGTTTATTGTAGTTGTTCATTGTAGAACTCCAGCAGTTTGAGTGTAAAAACACATCTGTGCTTCACACACAACAGCCAGGACACCTTCATGGAGAACTACTTCACCAGCCAGAGGGACAACATCTTCAGAAACGTAGAAGTTCTTATTTATGTGTTTGATGTGGAGAGCCGTGAACTGGAGAAAGATATGCACTACTACCAGTCATGTCTGGAAGCCATCCTGCAGAACTCCCCTGACGCAAAAGTGTTTTGCCTTGTTCACAAAATGGACCTGGTGCAGGAAGACCAGAGAGACCTGGTGAGCGTTACCTGACATTTTCACATTGTCCAAAAAATGAGTGGACTAACAGTCTAGCTTTGGTTACATAATGAGTTAACAGTTGGTTAACAGTCCAACTAGTGTTAGGGTTAGTTATGGTTTAGAATCCAGCTGTGCCTAATCCTTTGGATTTGATTATTAACATTTAATTTAGAGAGAGATTAATAATAAGTACTAGTAATTATGTAACATTAGATGATGCCCTTTAAAGGAAAGCACAGGGTTTTTACACAAATGAAAGAATGTAACTCAAGGTCATGCTTTTTGTTGCAGTTTTTAATGTTGTATCCTAAGGTTAGGTGTAATATCTGTCCATGTTAACATGACACAGTCACACACTCATTTCATTGATCATTTGAGATTACTAGTAAATCACAGTGCAGTGTGTCCAGCTCAGCTTTATGTTAAGTTTGTCACTGCATCAAGACCCTTTAACTGCACTGCTAATATTGTTCAACAATATTTATTGTCCTCAGATCTTTAAGGAGCGTGAAGAAGACCTAAAAAGACTGTCCAGACCTTTGGCTTGCACATGTTTTAGGACATCGATCTGGGATGAGACTTTGTATAAGGTTAGGAATCTTGACTGTTGTTACTGGTGTTCGTGCTCATTAGCCTGATTCGCTGAACTTTTGGTTTAAGCTAAACAACTATTTCAGAAACATTTTAAAGTAATTATTACAGTTTGAAATGTTATTAACATTTAATCAAAAAGAATATTTTAAAACTTTTCTAACAGGTGTTTTATCATTGCAGGCCTGGTCCAGTATCGTGTACCAGCTGATCCCAAACGTGCAGCAGCTAGAGACAAACCTGAGGAATTTTGCACAAATCATTGAAGCAGATGAAGTTCTTTTGTTTGAGAGAGCCACATTCCTGGTAAAAAAACAAAACAAAACCTGAATGAAACAAAAAATATTTTCCCAAAAGTATCAGAACATTCAGACATTCCAAAGAAATTAAAGCCACATATTATTATTGTCTCATTTTCTCATGTTTCTTTCATGTGCAGGTAATCTCTCACTATCAGTGCAAAGAGCAGCGTGATGCTCACAGATTTGAGAAGATCAGTAACATTATCAAACAGTTTAAACTCAGTTGTAGGTAAGTCTTCCCCAGAAAAAAACATGATTTTTATTCATTATTATTTCATTGTCAATAGTTCTATTTTCTGTTTCATTTTTTTCAGTAAACTCGCAGCATCTTTTCAAAGCATGGAAGTGAGAAACTCCAACTTTGCAGCTTTTATCGACATCTTTACCTCCAATACATACGTCATGGTCATCATGTCGGATCCATCGATTCGTAAGTACTTTTATAGCTCTAGTCTGCCTTACATTAACTACTAAAGTTACAGTGTGTGAACAGGAAGTGTCCCTGTGTCAGTAAAACTGTGGATTGCAAAATTATCTGCCTACATATGAAGAGTAGTATAAAACCTGTGGCTGGTTTCAAAATTGAAGGATGCTTTGAAAAGCCTGCCTTTAATTAAAGCCTCTGAAAAATAAATGGCTTATTAGTCAAAAAGATGTAGTTTTTCTGGCAATAAAACCCTTCAGATGTTACACATGTGACATTAAATTAGCATTGACATTATCATAACATATCATTTGTATGTTTCTGGTACTAGCATCTGCAGCCACTCTCATCAACATCCGCAATGCTAGGAAACACTTTGAGAAGTTGGAGCGAGTAGATGGACCGAAGCATGGTCTGCACATGAGGATGCGTTGACCTTTTCCCACTGGATAATCTCAGCCTATCACCACCCAGAACACCAATGGCATGCTGTGGTCTTTCATTTTACAGAAACAAAAAAAAAATCAGGCCTGCACCATTTCCTCTGTTTCTTCACATCCAATCACATATGTTACTTTTATTTTCTATGGATCTAATTTCTATAAGTGAGTAAGAGAAACATAACCTTATGAAATCTTTGTCCCACTTATGCCAAATAAAGGAAAAATAAAGTGGCACATCTCTCTTTGACCCAATTCATTGCTGCATGTTCTACAGTGAGGTTCCAGAACCAGGCATAACATTAGACATGGTCCAGTGCTTTCATAATTGTGTAATAAATAACACAAATCCAAAGTTGTGTGTGTCAAGACAGTTCAATTCAAACATTTTAATCCCTGTACATTTGTTAAAACCACATTCATTTTAGAATGTGAACGTGGTTATTAGAACTGTTACTAACCCAAACAAAACAAACGTACAAGGCAGGTCAGCTCTTGTAGACCAAGGATTATGAAAATAAACCAAACGTTAAGATTGTCGTTCTCGCTTGTTTATCATGTCTGCCTGAAAAGAACACCACTGGCAGTGGAGCATGGTTAGAGAACGACTGAAGCTGCCCAAGACGGCGACAAAAGGACTGCAAGGTGGATTCAGTCCATTTTTATTAAAACCAAGAAAGGTAAAGTATCATTTGTGTTTTAAGTTAAACGCG